TCAATCAGCGTAGCCCATTCGGTAGGTCTTATGGAGTCTTACAACTTTTATCCGAAACATTTTTCCATCATACCCACCGTTTGCGAAATAATCGGCTGTGTCCGAACTTTTGCCATGCAAACACTAATACTCGCCTCAAGATCACCGCCAGGGGGTTGGAAGGGCTCATGCCCAGAGTTTTGGAAAGGGCTCGGGACCAGCTTTCACATGACCTTACCAAATACCGGGTGTCCCATTTAAAAAAATCATCTTGACCTCCACGTGACCTCCACGGTACTCGTCAAGGTCAAACAAGGGTGACCAGTTGATAGATTGGTTGAAACCCTACAACTTTTGTATTTAACATTTTCCTCTAACTTCTATAGTTTCCGAGAAAATCGGCCGTGTCCAGACTTTTCGGACACCCTGTATACTGTGGCCCTGTACTGCTGAAATAAGTTGGAGTGAAATAAATATATGTTTGTCTCACGCTTATTACATCAGTGCAACAGTGCAACGAAAAAGAACAGACTTGATAAAAGCATCTCTAAAAATGGCTTTATAAGCTTTGTGATTGGTTATCAGCTACTTTTAGAAATCGCTTTTAGCGATAAAAGAAAATTCAAAATATGAAACTAATGCCCAATTTCTTTATCTCTGCTTATCTGCAAGTTATTCTATTGAAATTAACCAATCATATTTATGGTTGGCAAGATTAACCAATCACGGTTGACATTTATCCGACAGATAAAGGGTGCTTTCCAATTACGTTTTGTATGTTACACAAAATCAATTTATTGGTTGTATCTTATCTTACAAGATATTTTAGATAATATGTGACCAATAAACTGATTTTGTGTACGTATGTGTCAAGATGTGTTAATCAATTGAAAAGCTAACCGGAAGTTAACCGGAAGTGAAGAAATTAGGCATTATAATAATATTGATGACGCTAGCAAATCTATAAAGTCTGCATTCTGATATTTATCTGAAATACTGAAAATCTATAGTATACGTGACATAAACTATAGATTTTCAATATTGGCTGTGAATACCGGAAGAGATGACGCCATAGGAAGTATTACATGTATAAAACTAAATTATACTGCATAATATAGCGTATAATACAATGTATAATATCTCAGTATAATACTTACCCAACTCTGCTCGTGATCACTAAACTCGGTGAAGCGTAGAAACGTAAAACTTTTTACGTGAACTTGTTAGCCATGAAATGTGCTGCCGGAAAAATTAAAATCTAGTGATATGATGAGTACGAAATATATTTTGCTACTGCTGTGATGAGATACAGGAAACATAACAGTCCTAAGGTTATAGCGATGTTTTTAAGGTTATATGTTCTATAGCCGATGGATACGGGAGCGGTGCACTTGGACATGGTGCATTTGGACACAGCCAATCACAGCACCGTATGATTAGAGACATTTGTAGGGTCCCTTGGAACAGCGACTTGTGATTGGACTGTGTCCAATTGCCCCGTGTCCAACTGATATACACCCAATGGATACAGCTGATTTGACCGGGTGTATATCAGTTGGACACGGGGCAATTGGACACAGTCCAATCACAAGTCGCTGTTCCAAGGGACCCTACAAATGTCTCTAATCACACGGTGCTGTGATTGGCTGTGTCCAAATGCACCGTGTCCAAGTGCACCGCTCCCGATTTGACCGACATTGAAATCATATAGGAACTATGTTTAGTAATTTGTACTTTTCACACATAGAGGGTGTTTACGATAAGTTGTCGGATTGGAAATCCTACTGAACAGTGGTACTCAATCGACCCATTTCAAAAAATTCCCTAGCTTAATCAGATTTTAATAAAAGCTGTCTCAGCAGTAATCGGATTAGCTTCATAGCGAT